TGATGCTGGTAGTGACGAGCATGACGGTCATCATGAGTATGACAGTCATCATGAGTATGACGGTCGTCATGAGTATGACGGTCGGTATGATGTTGATACAGCTTTCGCTGGTCGTAATGCGAATGGTGCTGCTGATATTGATGGTGCTGGTGGTGCTGATGATCATGATTGTGTTGATCGTATGATGGTGATACTGCTGCTGCTGATGACGTTGCTGATGGTGGAGATAATGATGATGGTGATGACGATGCCGGAGATGAGGAGGATGATGATGATGATGGTGATGATGTTGATGATGCTGATGCTGGTGATGATAGTGGTAGTGGTGATGGTGATGATTATGGCGGTGCTGGTTGTTGTGATGATGGTGATGGTGGTGGGGATGTTGGTTATGATCATGATGATAGTCATGATGACGACGGTGGTGGCGGTGATGATAATGACAATTGTGTTGTTGATGATGCTGGTTAGCAATGCTGGTGGTGGTGATGACGATGCGTACGATGATAATGATGGCGATGGTGGTGGTGGTGATGATGAGTGTGCTGATTTATGATTGCTGTACTTGTGCCGCTGATGATGCAAATGCTGATGAGCATGGTGAAGACAATGATGATGGTGTTGCAGGTATGACGCTGGTACTTCTTTTGCTGATGCTGAGGCTCATGATGATGACGATTGTTTTGGTGCTGATCATGGCCATGATTGGTCTGATGGTGTGATGTTGGTACTGGTGCCGATGATGATGATGATTCTGGGGGTGCTAGCGAGGACATGATTGCGATGATGGTGATGATGATGCTGATGATGATGGTGGTGGTCGTGATGATGATGATGATGCTGTTCACGACGGTGGTAGTGGTGATGATGATAGTGATGATAATGCGTGTGATGTTTCTGGTGATGCTGATGCTGATGATGATGGGAATGATGCTGATTAGTGTGGTGATGATGGTGGTTGTAATGAGGATGACGATGATGGTGGTGGCGATGGTGGTGGTTGTGACGATGATTGCTTTGATTGTGATGGCGATGATGGTGATGGTGGTGATGATGGTGATGATGGTGGTGACGATGACGATGATGTCGATGATATGCTGGTTTCGGTGATGGTAATGGTGCTGCTGATATTCATGGTGGTGGTGATTATGACGGTGATGTTGATGACGATGGTGGTGGTGGTGATTACTCTGGTGATGGTGAGACTGATGATGACGATGGGGGTGGTGGTAATGATGATGTTGATGGCAATGGTGGGGGTGGTGGTGAAGGTGATGATTGCCGATGATGTTCTTCTGGTGGTTGTTCTGGGGATGAGTATGATGGTTCTGATTTCGACGGGGGTGGTGGTGATGCTGATTGTGCCCATGGTATCATGATGAAACTGCTGCAGCTAATTATGATGATGATGCTGATGATGCCCATGATGCTGCGTATGGTGATAATGCTGATGATAATGGTGATGGTGCTGATGGTATACTATCGATTCTGCTGTCGCCCGTGCTGATGCTGGTGCCGATGATGCTGATTATGACGATGTCTGTGTTGGTGGTGATGATAGTCATTATTGTGGTGACGGCTTGATGTTGGTATTGCTGCTGGCCGATAGTGGTGATGATGGTAATCAGGATGGGGACGAGGATGAGGATGAACATGCAGATGATAATGATGACGACGATAATGCCAGTGGTGGTGGTGATGGTGCTGATGATGATGGTGGTGATGGTGGTGATGGCGATGCTGGTGATGATGATGGTGATAATGACGATGGTGATGCTGATGCTGGTGATGATGACGATGATATTCATCATGGTGGTCCTTCTGGTGATGATGCAGATGATGATGCTGGTGATGGTGGTGGTGGAGACAAATGTGATGATGATGCCGACGGTTATCATGATGATGACGATGATGATGATCAGCATGGTGCTGGTGATGGTGATGATGCTGATGGTGGTCATGGTGGTGCTGGTAATGCTGATGCTTGTTGATGATGGTGCTGGTGATGCTTGTGAGTGTAATGCTTATGATTGCGATGGTGGTGGTGGTGATTGTGTTGATGATATGATGCTGGTACTGCTGTCGACGATGATGGGGATAATATGAATGATGATGCTAATGATGGTGGATACGATGATGATCATGGCGCTGATGGCATGATGTTGATACTGCTGTCGCTGATGCGTTTACTCTTGATGGTGCTGGTGATGATGGTGTTTGTGGTGATGCTGGTCAAGGTTGTGCTGATCGTATGATATTGATACGGCTGCCGGTGATGATGAGAATGAGGATGGCGCTGACAATGATGATGATAATACTGGTTGTTATTGATGATGTTGGTGGTGATGCTGGTGATAATAAATGTGCCGATGATGGTGAAGGTGATGCTGGCTAGTGTGATGATGACGATGCTGGTGGTGGTGGTCATGCTGATCACTATGATGATGTATATGGTGAGCATTGCGGTGGTGGTGGTGGTGAAGATGGTGCTGACAATGGTTGTGGTGTTGCTGATGATGATGGTTGGTAATGATGGTGCAGGTGATGATGTTGCCGTTCATGATGATGACGATTGCCGTGGTGGTGATGATGATTGCACTGATGACATGGTTATGATACTGCTGCCGACGAAGATGATTATGATGATGCCAATTATGAGGATGATGATGGTCCTGATGGTATGATGTTGATGACGTTGCCTTTGATGAGGAATCGGAAAGTGATGCTGATGATGTTGGTGATGATGACGATGTTGGTGCTGGTGGCGATGATGATCATGATTGTGCTGATGGCAGGATGTTGGTACTGCTTCCGGTGATGATGGTGATGATGGTGATGCCGATGATGACGATGATTGTGGTGATAATTATATGGTGTTGGTACTGCTGTCGGCAATGATGGTGATGTTGATCATGATGACGACGCTGGTGATGAGGAGGGGGACGACGATGACGATGATGCTGCTGCTGACGATGCTCCTGAAAAATGCCGCTGATCATGATGTTGCTGACGGTATGGCGGTGATATGGCTGCCGATTTCGGTGGTGAGGATGATGTGATGATGTTGGTAATGATGATGCTGGTATTTCTGATGGTGATGCTTTTGCAAAGAATGCTGATTTTAGTGTTCATAATTATGATGGGTGTACGCATAGTATGAAAACGCTGATGTTGATGATGACGACGATGCTGCTGTTTGTGGTGACAGCTATGATTTTGATGACGATGACGATGATGATGTTGCTGCTGATGATGCTGACGATGGTGCTGATGGTGATGATGCTGATGCTGGTGATGATGACGATTACACTGATGCTACTGAAGAGGATGATGAGGGATGCGCGGGGGGAAGATATAGAGAAGGACGCAGCCCGACGGCACCACGCGTGAGGCCGTTGTGCTTCATGATATTTCTGTGCCTCCCCCTCCTCGTCCTACCCCTCCTCCTCCTCGTCTTCCCTTTCCCCCCACCTTTCATAATTCTTCCCGTTTCTATTCCCAATTGTCCTCCTCCTCGTTCTTCTTCCCCTTTACCTCCCACCACTCCTTTCATTTTTCGCCGCGTGCAACGCTTGCGTTGCACGCGTTGGAAAACGCCTCACGGAAATGGAGCTTGTTCGGGTTTGGAAGAACTCTCTAGCCAGGCTTGCCTCTTGGGTGTTGCTTCACAGGTGGCTAGGGTTATCTTGTGATTGCTCTTGTCGCCAAGCATGTTGTCATGTTGCAGTGCGCATGCTTGCAAGCAGCAGGGGTGCGTTCCTCTCTGTGTTTTGTTCTCCTTATATGATCATTGCGTCATCTCGCGCATCTTTCATCATGGTGACTCGTTGGGCAAGGGCCCATTGTTTGGTATGCCACGTCGGGCACGGGCCCTCGGTGCGGGCGCATTCGCGCCTCCGGCAAAGCACGGGCACGGGCCCGAAGGAGAGGCGACGATCGCAGGAGAGTTGCACATGTGTGGGGCACGATCGTGGTCACATCGTGGTGCACTGCCTCTTTTGCAGTACGTTGCACATGCCTTCTGTCAACCTGCTGTGGCATGAAGAACGGGTTCAGGCTTGTCAGCTTCGAGAGGCCTACATGCACGCGCATGTTGTCGGGCACGGGCCCAAATAGTAGCTTGATTAGCACACTTCGTCATCGCATCCGGGACATGTCATTGCTTCTTGGTCATGCGCGTCATGTGTTCTGCCCTGCGGCAACGTTGTGAACAAATTGGGCACGGGCCCTTACTGGCTAGCACGGGCTGGCTGCAGCGTGATTCGTCCAGCGTTGATTGGTGGCAGGCACGGGCCCGTGCGCTCCCCAGGGGGCAGGAAATAGGCAATGCCTGGGCACGGGCCCAGCCAGGAATCTTGGTTCCATCAGACGCGCACCTTTGTAAGGCAAAGTCGCACATGCATGCGCATGCGATTGGGCACGGGCCCAGGGAATGGCAAGCCAGTGTTTGCTAAGTACACTACTTTGTAACAAGGGCACGGGTTCATGCGGTCCCTTGGGGCCGGAACCTATCGGAAGGTTGGGCACGGGCTCCGCCAGTCTAGGCACGGGACTCTTCGCATTGAGAGTTGCAGAGGCATGGTGCACAAGCCTGATGATGATCGAAGTTGCATTGGTTTTCGGCCACACGTCGATTGTTGTACCAAGATGGTGTGTTTCTGCGGGTCTTCTTACATGTGACAACTTTTTTGCAATACATGCTGGATGGATTTGCTCATCTGCAGCGTCGTGCTCGAGTTAGGCATTTCCTTAGATTTGCTATCAAGGGTAGCACGTGCGATGGCCCGCAGTCGCAGCAGGTCACGCTACCGGCGGCGCCGGCGCAGTCCGTCGAGCCGTCGGTCGAGCTCGTCTCACCGCAGCCGCCACGTGGGGAACAGAGGAAGATCTAGGCGCCGCGCTCCGAGTCGAGCGAGGGCCGAGGCTGGCGCTGACCACCGTTCTCCTGCGTGCGAGCCCGCAGCAGCCCCAACAGACGCGGCAGCGCCGGCGACCCAGAGCGCCGGCGACTTTCTCGCAACCGCGGTGCCAGACGCCGAGCGCACCCTCGTGCAGAACGCAGTGCGCTTCCTGGCGGAGAAGGGCTTCACTGCGGGGTGGCAGGTTGCGAGCGCCCCCAAGGATTTCTCGCTAGAGATCTTGAAGCCAGACACAGCCCCAGGGGAGCTCACGCTAGCGATCTGCGCCCAGCAGGCCGAGCGCAACCACGAGCAGCGCGGCCGGGACACAGCTCTTGAACAGACCTTCCAGCAAATTGTCCGTAGCCAACAGGCCAACGCGCGCGCGCAGAGGCGCATGCGGAGGGACCGTCGCGACGTGAGCTCGTCGTCGGGAGAAGCAGCCGAGCCAGTCGATGGTGAGTTCGATGCAGTCTCCTGCTTGTCCCGCTATGGCATTCCAGGTGTGGAGCACGGCCACCAGCGCGACCACGAGAGCCTTCGTGCCACGATCCGAGCGGTTCGTCGCGCAGCCAGAGGGAGACCAGAACAGAGACGGTGGTTCCTGTGCCGGGAGCCCTTGGAGAAATGGGCCCCGCAATGGATGACTATCAAGCCAACCGGGAAAACCATGACGCACGCGCAGTGGGTGGCTTGCTTCTGGTCCCGGGGTCTCGCCCAGCTGACGGCGCAATCAGCCAGCGAGCAAGAGACGGTGAGCATGCAAGCGCTCCTGCGTCTCTTCCTGAATATGAACCAAGTGGCAATTCAGGATACGTGCCGGACAAGCGTGGGCCATGGAGGCGGACTTTTGGTCCGACGCAGCAGAGCGCAGCCGCCGCCGGGACCAGACCTGCGTTCCGGAGAAGGACCTGTGTCTCGTGGACGAGAACAGGAAGGCGAAGGCACGGAACCATATTCAGGCGCACCACCAGCAGGACCAGTCCCCCCGGCAGCCGTACCAGGCGCAGCGGCCAGCCCAGACTCCGCAGCTGGCGCTGACAGACCGGCCCAGGCCGCCGCCCCCGCCCTCAGGCCGGCTAGGCCCGGCCCCCGGGCACCAGGGAGGCAAGGGCTTAACAGAAGAACGGCGGCAAGGCCGCCAAGGGGCCGGAGCGGGCCCCGCGGCCCTGGGCCTGACCCGCCCACGCGGGCGGGGCCTGGGCGGCCGCCAGCAGCGCCGCCGCCCAGGACACAGAGGGGGAGTCGGAGCACTCCTCCGCGAGGCCGCAGTCAGACAAAGAGTACGACGATCCCGTGCGCCATCTTGTAAAGGAATGGCCATCTGCTTCTGAGCAAAAGGCACCCGCAGCGGTTTTGCCATTAGAACAGCGACACATTCTTGAGAGAATGGTGCAAGACCCCCCAGCCTGGTATGAGCAAGTCCAGGAAGCCCTGGCGCGCTGGCGGGCCGGCGCTGAGCGGCTGCAGGCCTGGAGGGCTTCCCTCTCGGCGTGCCAGGTCGGCGTGCTGGGCCGCCTGGGCCCGTTCCTCATGGGCGAAATGCTCGCGGAGGCATGCCATCCAGATGAGGGGTACATCTTGGATCTCTTGAATGGTTTTCCGCTTACAGAGGTGCTCGGTGTTTGGGGCCTTGGTACAGACCTGCCGGGAGGCAGGTGTAGCCGGGCCAGGCCGGGCTGGCCGGGGCCGCGACCCTTGCCGGAGCTCAGAAGCCAGTGCGCCGAGCTGAACAGCCAGGCTCTCCGCGCGGCCGAGGCCAGACGCCCGCGCACGGAGGGCGACCTCGCTCTTGCGGCAGAGATCTGGCACAAACTGCAGGCAGACATCGCTGCGGGCAGGGCTGGTCCGGCCTGCGAAATCAGCGACGTAGACCTTAGCACAGTGCTAGTAGTGGAGTCTTTTGGCATCTGGGAAAGCCGGGGAGACGGCAACAAGAAGGCTAGGGATATCCATCATTTCAGGAAGAACCTAGTCAACGATTGCGCGTGGATGCCGCAAACATTCCACTACGACACCCACGACCACATGTTTGAGGCGTTAACATGCATCGCCGAGGCCGCCGGCGAGTCAGAGATCGCCCCACACGTGGTGCTCGGAAACACAGATTTCTGGTCAGCGTTCAAAACGCTACCGCCGGCCAGCGAGCACCTCTGGATGGTCGTGGACGTTCAATACTGATCTGGGTCGGTTCCAGCTTGTACCGTTGTTCTCGCATGTATTCGGGGATATCGGCGCGGCTGCTGGCTGGTTCCGCACGGCGCAAGCCCTGAAGAGCATCGCTGTCGCGCTCTTCGCTCTTCCGGTCCTGTTCTACGTCGACGACGTATTCTGGGCCGCCACTGGCGCGATGCTTCCCAACGGGCGGCCCGTCGCCCAGTGGATCGCCGACGTGTTCAACGAGGTCGTCTGCTCCATGCTCGGCTGGGAACTCGACCCTCGGATGACAATCGTCGCGCGCAGCCTGCCCTTGCTTGGCCCCCTGGCCACGGTAGAGGGAGGTGTCGCGAGCTGGCGTCTCGGAGAGGAGAAGCGAGGGCAATGGTGCGAGGAAATCCGGGAGGTCCTGGGTCCCGGGCACCTGAGCCCAGGCAGGGCCTCCAAACTCTGCGGCAAGCTGGCTTTCCTGAATTCCCGGGTGTTCAACCGCCTCGGGAGAGCATTGTTGAGGCCACTGATTTGGAGACAGTGCCAGTTCCGAGGCCCGACTGCCCTCACCAGGAGAATCCGGCATTCGCCGCAGTGGTTCATGGACGTGCTGGCGCTCGGCCTGCGCCGGTCAGCCCCGCATCTCCCACCGCCGGCGCCCCCGCCCATTCTCGTGCACTCCGACGCGGAGGGCATTGGGCGCGTCGGAGCCGGGGCAGTGCTGAGCGGAGTAGACATCCGCTTCCTGCGAGGCCGGGTGCCCCGCGGCATCCGCAAGCAGTTGTTGGGAAGAACCACGAATATCATTGCGTATGAATTGTTGGCGGCTGTTGCATCGATATGTTCCCTGTGCCCCGCGGACCTGCGCGGGCGCAGGGTGGTTCACTTCGTGGACAACCAGACGGCCGTGGCATGCATCATCAGAGGTTTCTCCACCAAGAGGGATCTGGCTGCCATTACCGGGCGCCTCTGGTTTGACGCAGCCGCCATGAACATGCAATGTGAAGTCAGGTACGTTGCCAGCAAAGCAAATTTAGCAGACCCTCCATCCAGAGATGATATCAGTATCCTCCAGGAGCCGGGGGCCGTTGAATTGCCAGAGTGGTCCCCCCCACATTTTGGCACGGGCCTGGATTCGTGGGCGCGGAGCACCCACGAGGCGCACAGGTTGCTCTTATAATTTGTTTTTTCCAGCATTCACTCTTTGCAGTATTTGCACATATGTGCCACTGAACAGCCTTTCGCATACCGCGGAAGATGCCGCCGCCGCGCCCTTGAACAGTTGCTTCGTTCACGTCGACGCTGCTGTCATCTTGTCATCACCTACGTCATCTCCCCTGCATCGCCTTCTCGTCGCCCTCGCTTCGCCCCCTGCCCCCTGCCCTTTTTTGTCTTCCTCTCTCCCGCTCGCCCGGTGCTCCCCTGCCCCCGCCCTTCGCCCTCCCCTGCCCCTCTTCCCCCGCCTCCCGCCTTCCGTCCAATCCTGGGGGATTGCGTTTGGCTTCTGGAGAAGCGAGGGGGGGGAGTTTCGACGGCGAGGGCTTCGAGGTCAAATCGCCTACCGCTGGGCCTGCTGGACCCCAGAGCGTGGCCTACCTCGTGGCCCCCGGGTCCTGTTGCCCCCCCTGGCCCTCGTCAGGTTTTGGCCTTTGTGAGGGGGCCGGAGGAATGTTGCCCTGGTCCGAGGGCGTCTCCCTCGGCGTTCCAGTGCTGCGGCTGCTTCGGCGTTCCTCCTGCCTGTTACGGTTTCGCCGAGTCCGCCAGGTAGGACGAACGTTTTCCGGACTGGTTCAGGGGAGCTCGTCAGAGCGTCGTGGGTGCTGTGCCACCGAGTGCGTCGAACCTGTGCGGTGCATGTTCGGACCCAGCCAGGGGATGTAAATATTCATCCGGATACGTTCTCCCCCGGCGTGCGAAAACACGCTCTTGGCAGGAAAGCGTCGTGAGGCGAGGGTCAAAGAAACTTTGGAGGGAACAATTGCCTGGGCCGTCGACGTCGTTGTCGTCGTCGGTGGGGGGCGGCACCTGGCGGTGATTTCGCTCTAGGGCCTGCGCCCAGCGTGTTGGAGGCATGGTGTTAGCCCCCCCCCGCCTCTACGGCACTGGCTCCGTCCCTGGAGACCCCATTCGCAAATCCAGGCGTGAAGCATAACTGTATATTCATGTTCGCGCGGGCCGTTGATGCGCCAGGAACGCTCCTCGGGGTGTCCCCCCAGCCATCCGCTTCTTATATGTATTCGACACAGCATGTTGTCAATAAGGGGCTGACGCACAAGTATGAGCGAGTGGCCATTGCAATGGAATGATATTCAAATGCAGGTGAAACCACTTGTAGTGAAGATGATAACGGTCTGGGTACGCGCGTATACAGCCATAGTACATGGGAATATCATGTGAACTCACACCCAAAGCGTAAAACACGTTTAAACACATGTTCAAATAATACGCAGTATCAGTAATGCAGGATGGCAGCATGATTGCAGCGCCAGAGCGTTGGCTCAAGACACCCTTGGCGCGGGCCAGGGCGCATAGTTGGAGCCACAAGTATGGCTGGAGTGTCCCCGTTCACTTCGACTGCTTGGGCGGCGCGACCCCGTGGGCGGGGCCAGCTGACTTTGGGGCGAGGTGGTGAGGAACACACCGTCCCGCCTTTCACGTCCGCGGCATGGGCTGCGCCTCGCTCCCAGCTCCCAGAGCAGAGCAACAAGAGACAAAGATCTTTCAGCGAAGTCACTGCTTTTGGACAGAGCGCGGGGGCGACGATAACGTTTCTGGAGCGTCCGGGGGCGCGCGCTGTCCCTCCACCCGCGGAGCAGGCGCAAAGCTTTGCTGAACTGGTGGCCGGGCCACCTCCGCCGAATGCAGGCGCTGATTGGTGGTTGTCCCAGTTGACGGATATGTCCGTTGATGACCTCAGCGGTTGGGTCCCCGCACAAGCCACGCACGAGCACAGCAAAGAGCAGTCGATTGCACAAATGCTCGGCCGGCAAACATTCACTGAACGCATGGGCGCAGCGGGTTTGAGCCGTCTGGTCACTGATCGTCTGCAGCCGCGGCAAGCGATCGCGGTTCTGGCGGCCTCTGGCAATGGTCGGGGTGCGTTGTTGGACGAGGCAGGCCAACGGAACATGTTCGCAGCGATCAGCCGGTCGTTACCGTCGTACATCGCTGGAGTGCGTTGTTGGGCAGCCTTCATGGATGCTCTTGGGCGGAAGCCCCACTTTCCCGCAACAGAGCGGGATGCAATTCGGTACATATCTACGTTCCGCTATGCCAGCACTTTGAAGACGTACTTCACGCACCTCCCGTGGGCCCATCGTTTCTTGCGGTTACGCAATGAGTGGTTTACGGAGGCGGTGCGGCAGGCGCACCGCGGCAGTTCTAAGTCGGCGGATGCTCCCCGTCAGCGGTTGGCACTGCAAGCCGCCCGGGTTCGGCAATTTATTGCGCACGCTGAAAAGGGCGGTGATGCTGAGCAAGCGGCATTGTACGCGGTTGGCCGCCTGTGTTTGCTCAGAATGCCATCCAAATGCGTTCCATTGGAAATCAATGGGAGTCACTCCCAGGTTACCTTTGAAAGGGATTCTTTCAGCATCGCGTTGACTAGGCGGAAACCTGCCCGCCGGCCAGCACTGATTCGGCGCGAATGTTGTTGTCGACAATCCGGGAGGCTTCTCTGTGCTTTCCACCATCTCCAGCCGCTCGTTGCCGCAGCGCGACGTCAGGGCCGCCAACGAGTGTTTACAAGGTCTGCGCCGGTTTTCCTTCGGCGAATGCGGGAGCAAGCCCGCTTGTTAGGATTTGAAGACGCAGATCTGCTCGGCACTCACGCACTCAGGCGGGGCATGGCCCGAGACATCGTTGATGCTGGCGGGAGCTTAGCGACGTTGCTCAGAGCTGGCGATTGGACGAGTTCGGCGTTTGTACAATATCTCCGAGACCACCAGGTTGAGGAGGCAGCGGCCCTGTCACTTCAGATCGACCACTCTGATTCGGAGTAGAAAGGAATCCAGCCCCTTTGCGTTGCTCCTTGCCCGCATCGCCTCGAGGAGCTGCCGCGCGACGATCGCGACGATGGGTAAGACAAGCGATCGCCCCACGATGGGTGCGAAGCCACGGCGACCCGCTTGCCCTGGTCTAAGAAGAGCTCCATTGACCCATCGCGCGACCTGCGCGGGGGCGCCGTTCAGGCCGTGGAGTGAGAGTGCGGGTGTTTTCCGCCACGTGCAACGCTTGCGTTGCACGCGTTGGAAAACGCCTCACGGAAATGGAGTTTGTTCGGGTTTGGAAGAACTCTCTAGCCAGGCTTGCCTCTTGGGTGTTGCTTCACAGGTGGCTAGGGTTATCTTGTGATTGCTCTTGTCGCCAAGCATGTTGTCATGTTGCAGTGCGCATGCTTGCAAGCAGCAGGGGTGCGTTCCTCTCTGTCTTTTGTTCTCCTCATATGAGCATTGCGTCGTCATGGTGACTCGTTGGGCAAGGGCCCATTGTTTGGTATGCCACGTCGGGCACGGGCCCTCGGTGCGGGCGCATTCGCGCCTCCGGCAAAGCACGGGCACGGGCCCGAAGGGGAGGCGACGACTCGCCCCACCCACCCGCAACCTTGAGTTGCCATCGGCACAGTAACATACGCTCACACACATATGTAGGTATGTCGGCGTGTAGTGCGCTTTATGTGTCTATAGGACGGAGGAAAGAAAAGATAAGGAAGCCCAGTAATTCTATTGGACAGCGTAATGGGTTATGGGACTTTTCACCAAGTCTCTGGCCCGCCCACGACCCGCTTGCCCTGGTCTGAGAAGAGCTCCATTGACCCATCGCGCGACCTTCGCGGGGGCGCCGTTCAGGCCGTGGAGTGAGAGTGCGGGTGTTTTCCCGCCCCCTTCTCCTACGTTTCGTCTCAATCCTTCTTGCACTTCCTCCTCCCCCCTCCTCCCCTTCAGCCCTCTGTTGTTCCTGCATGTCCCCGCCAGGCCAAGAGGCCATTCTTCAGGGGGTGATGATGATGGTGATGGTGATGGTGATGGTGACGATGCTGTTGTTGAAGATGATGGTGACGATTGCGTCGGCGACGGCGATGATGATGACGATGATGGTTCATGGTGCTGATGATGATGGTGATGCTGGTGATGATGGTGATGATGAGTATGCTGGTGACATGATAATGATGACGATGATGCAGCGATGCTTTTTGTGTCGATGGTGGTGGTATCGGCCATGCGTACTATGCTTACGATGGCGATTGTGCTGTTGTTTCTGTGCAAGGTGATGACCATGCTGATGGGATTGCCAGTGCTGATTCGTTTGCTGATGTTGACGATGACGATGTGGATGATGCTGGCGACGGTGACGATGGCGATGACGACGACGATGATAATGATGATAATGCTGCCGACGATGATGATGATGATGACGACGACGACGACAATGATGATGTGACGATGTGTTTTCGTTATTGGTGGTGATCACGTTTGCGATTACTGTGATTACAAAGGCGATGATGCTGCTGTTTTGCGCAGGGTGATGACCATGACGGCGGGGCTGACGGTACCGGTTCTTCCGATGATGTTGACGATGACGATGTGGATGTTGTTGACGGCGACGACAGCGACGACGATGATGTTGATGTTGTTGATGTTGGTGGTGATTATTGTTCGGAACGCGAGTATTATGATGATGATCGTGCTGCTGATGAAGGTGGTGGTGTTGCTGCTGCTGATGATGATGATGCTGAGGGGGATCGTGATGATGATGATGACCTTAGTGGCGTTGCTGATCTTCCTCTTGCTACTGATGGTAGGGGCTTGATGCTGCTGCCGATGGTGACCTGAATGATGACGATGCTGATGATGATGGTGATGATGACGATTCTGATAATGATGATGGTAATGATGATGGTGTTGCTGATGATGATTCCGATGAGGATGATGCTGTTGCTGATGATGATAATGATGTTGTTTATGCTACTGCTGATGTTGATGATGATGATGATGATGATGATGAGGGCCACGTTGCTGACGATGCTGGCGGTGACGATGCTGCTGCTGCTGATGATGACGATGATGATGCTGATGATGATGCTTAGGACGGTGATGATGGCGATGGTATTGATGATGATGAAGAGGATGAGGAGAGGCGAGGAGGGGTAAGGAGGAGGGGGATGTGGAGAAGAACGCAGCCCGACGGCACCACGCGTGAGGCCGTTGTGTTTCATGATCTTTCTGTGCCTCCCCCTCCTCGTTCTACCCCTCCTCGTCCTTCCCCTCCTCGTCCTTCCCCTCCTCCGACTCCTCTTCCCATTCCTCCCACCCTTCATTTTCCTTCAAACTCCTATTCACAGTTACCATCCTCCCCCTGTTCGTTCTTCTTCCAATTTTCGTCCTTCGCATTCCGTCTATATCCCCTCCCATCTCCTCCATCTCGTCAATCCTTCCTGCCATTCCTCCTTCCACCCCTCCCCTTCAGCCGCCTCCTGTTCCTGTACGTCCTCGCCAGGCCCAGGGCCATCCTCGTGGGGGTGGTGCTGATGGTGATGATGATGGTGATGATGCTGATGATGATGATGGTGGCATTGTTGACGCTGGTCGTGATGACGAGCTTGCTGATGATGGTGACGAATACGATGACGATGACGGCGACGATGATGATGTTGATGATGATGTTGCTGATGATGGTGATGTTGTTGATGTTGCTGGTGTGTTGATGTGATGTTGATGATGATGCTGGTGCTGATGGTGATGTCGATGCTGCTGAGGAGGCCGATGATGATGTTGATGGTGATGGCGCTGATGATTCGATGATCATTGTGGTGTTGATGATGCTGCTGCCGCTGATGATGATGATGATGATGATGATGATGAGAAGGACGAAGATGATGGTGGCCACGGTTGCTGCGATTTCGACGGTGTCGATGTTGCTGATGCTGTCCATGATGATGATGACGATGATGATGATGGTGATGACGATGATGGTGATGATGATGATGATGCTGATGCTACTGCTGCTTCTGATGAATATGACGATGGCGATGGTGATGCTGGTGCTGATGATGATAATGTTGTTGACGATCATGGTAACAAGGATGATGAATAGGATACTTAACAGGTTTATGAGGACGAATCTAAGGTTGATGGCGATCTTTTTGCTGATGATGACGATGGTGATGATGGTGATGACGATGATGATTATGATGATGAGGATGGTGAGGATGACAATGCTGATGATGATGATGATGATGATGATGGTGATGGTGATGATGATCACGATCATGATGAGGAGGAGAAGGACTGATATGATTATGATGATGGCGATGTTGATGATGATTGTGGTGATGGGAGGAGGAGGAGGACGAGGAGGAATATATCTCGTCTTATTTCTCTTCTTTCTTCATTGTTTTGCAATGTTATTCCATTTGTACTCCTTGAACGCGCTCAGACACTCAGAGGATAAGCAGTTCCGTACAATCAAATCTCATCCTCACCTCCGCTCCTGCACCACGTCCGTCTCCTCATCTTAGTTCTTCCGCTCCCCTTCATGATCACTCCTCCTCTGGACTTAACCCCTACCCCTCGTACTTCTTCCCTGCATCTTCCACTCTCTCTCTCTTCCCTCCCCGCTTTCCCTCCCCGCTTCCCCCCTCCCCCTCCCACCACTACCCCTCCTGCCTGCCGCGTGAAGGCTTTCGACACCTCGTCATTTTCTTGCCTGTCTTGCGCACGATGCTGTTCGATGGTGTGCGCGTCGCCCTTCCGTCCAGGGCGTCGCTCGATCTCCCTACGCACTTCGTGGTCCCGTCTGGCTCCCTAACCTTCTGTGCAGTAGAAGGCGAACAAGTCTGACACTTCGAATGCCACCTAGGGATCAAAGTTTGATTCGACACCCGGCTTTTCGCAATCGGAAAGCGGAGTGGGAGGAAGAGGCGGAACAGGCGTGACGTTGGCGCAATCAGCGTGCCTCTCCCCTCTCCTCCCCCTCCCCCTGCAGCTCCGCTTCGTAGTCGCTGCCAACCTCGCCCTGCTGGCGAGAGCTTACTGAACGCATCGTTGTCCCACCGACCTGTCTCCCTGATCTGCAGCCTCTGGATCCACGGGCGCGTGCGCGCACGCGCACGTCGTTCCCCGAGACGAGCCGGCACCACCGCCAGAATTCGTCATTGGCAGGACCTTTCTTGTATATGCAGTGCCGTGTCCTGCCAGGCCAACTTCGAGGGGGAAAAGACGATGCCCACGGCCAAGATGCCGCGAGGTCTTGTCGACGTCGATCTTGGTCATGGTCCATGCTGGCCTTCGCCGATTTGCGCGGATGATCCACGAATGGGCGATGACCAAGATAGACGGTCGCCAGGATCGGCACCGACGTTTCAGCATTCAGTCTTGGCCCTGGTTCTTGTTTGCTTTCCCTCCACTCTCTGCGCCCCCGCTCGCGGGCTCCTGGACTGGTCGGGGGTTGCTATTGTAGTGGCCTCCGGCCAGTGCCGCCGATCCGGGGCGCTTTTGATGCTATTGTTGGGATGGACGATAACGACGACAACGGACGACCAACGGTCGACGAGTGGGATCATTACGACGACGAGCGACGAACGGGTTAACGACGACGGTTGACGACGACGATGACGACGACGACGACGGGGGAAAGAGGAGGACGAGGAGGACGAGGAGGAGGAGGAAGAGGAGGCTGATGATGATGATGATGATGATGATGATGATGATGATGATGATGATGATGATGACGATGACGGTGACGTTTACGATTATGAAGTGGCCGTCGGCCAATGCCGCCACCGTGCCTGAGTGATGTCGGAGGGCTCTTCAGTGTTCGTTGGGATCTCGTGGTAGGTCTCTCGGGGGCCTCATGGGTACACTTTTGAGGCATCCTGGGGGCCGTCGTGGGAACCCTCGGGGCCTCTTCTGGGCCTCTTGGGTCCTGCTTGGGGGCCTCTTGGGGGCCTCTTGGGACCTCTTGGGGCCCTCTTGGGGGCCTCTTGGGGGCCTCTTGGGGCCTCTTGGGGGCTTCGGGAGGCCGAGGGCTCGAAATTTCCGTTCGGGTTCCCCGTCTGGCTCCCTTCTTGGAGCCGTCTTGAGAGCCTCTGGGGCCGTCTTGGGGGTTTGTTGGGCAGTCTTGGGGCTCTCTTGGGCCGTCATGGGGCGATCTTGGGGGCCTCTGGGGCCGTCGTGGAGCGTCGGGAAGCCGAAAAGGCGGGAAGGCGAGAATCCTTCCAAAACCTGCCTAACATTTATACTTTTGGCCTCTTAAGGGTCCTCTTCTGAGGGCTGTTGGAGGCTTCTTCGAGCGTCTCGGCGGCCTCTTGGGCCGTCTGGAGGTCATCCTCGGCGTCTTGGAGCGTTCTTTGGGCGTCTCGGGGGCTTCTGGGGCCGTCTTGGGGGTCTTGGGGCCCTCTTGGCCCGTCTTGGGGCCCTCGTGGGCCCGGAAAAGCCCCCCCGGAACGCAGACCACAACTCGTCCCCCACCCCCTTCCCCCCCTTCCCCGGGAGACCTCTTCCTCCTCCTCCTCCTCCTCCTCCTCCTCCTCCTCCTCCTCCTCCTCCTCCTTTGCCTCCTGCTTATACTCCGGCTCACCCGCCACCTCCTCCTCCCCCTCCTATGTACGCAGCTCCCCTTTTCCGATTGCGCATAACACAATGGGGTCTTCTTCGGGGTTCAATGTTGGCTAGGACACGCGTCCGCGGATAGAAACAATAATTATCGCCGCAATGGGAAGGAATGGGAGGTAGGAATAGGACGTCAGATATGGCGCGATGGCACCTGGCATGCCCCTGCCCCTTCTCTTCCTGTCTCCCTCCCCCTCCCCCCCTCCCAGATTTCTCCCCCCTGCCTCCTGCCTCTTCCCTCCTCCCCCTTCCCTTCGCCCCCTCCCGCGTCTCTCCTTCTCCCCTCCCCCCATCCTCTCTCCTCCGCTCTCTCCTGCTCGCCTCCTCCTGACCCGCGCCCTCCTTGGAGGGCTGGCCCGTCGGACCGACGGTGCGTGCTCCGCTCCGCTGCCCACCTCCCCGTCGCCACCATCGCCGTCGCCGCGGCTGCATCTGCTCGGGACCCGCTCGGCCCAGGCCGAGCCACGGACTCCGTGGGAAGATCACCCCGCCGGCCACATCGGGCAGCAGAGGAGCGGTCGCTCACGAGCATCGGCCGCCATGCAGGTCTTCGTGAGGACGCTGTCCGGTGCCTCCGCCTCCCTCGACGCGCGGCCGGACGACTTGGTGGGCGGTCTCGGGCAGGAGGCGTTGGTGTTCGGAGGCATCGTCGACGACGAGCGACGACGCCGAATGACGACGATCCCTGAGATCTGGGCGTTGCAACTTTATTTTCCAGTGAGTTATTGTCCGGGTTCGGCCCCCGGGGGCCCTTGCAAATCGATCCGGCTCGAAACATGCCGCGCAAAGATGAGGCTTGGGGCTGCGGCCGTGATTGCTCACGATGTTGCAATTTAGTCTCGACGTCGGATCTCAGAGAATGACCGTGAATGACAACGATGACGACGACGACGGCGACGACGACGGCGGCGACGGCGACGACGGCGGCGACGGAGGCGACGGCGACGACGGCGACGGCGATGGCTGCTCGGAGGCCAGGACCTGGACCCGGCGAGCACGCTGGCGGAGTGCGGCGTGGAGGACGGCTCCACTCTGTTCGCGGTCGCCCGCCTGGCTGGCGGCGGGGACGGCACCCCAGCCATGGGCAAGAAGCACAAGAAGAGCCACGGCCTCTGCCCGCGCTGCGGCGACCCACTCCGGGGATGTGTCCACGCTGCGGGCAAGATTTATATGCCCATATCCACTGCGTTTTGGATGTCTACGTCCCTTCTTCACAAATCTGAGACGTGGATAGGGAGATGAGTTGTAAGCCTTTCCCGTGCACGTTCACCGACTTAGAGACGTCCCCCCAGAGGATCTCGCAGTTCCCGCCCTCTTAGGGGCGAGGTGTCAGAGGAGGAAGAGGTACCGATGCAGCTGCTCGTCCTGGAGAGCCCTCGTCGCCACGGCCAGACTCCCTTCGAGATCCTGGTCAGAACGCGCCCTTGGAGAGGTCCGGGGAGTAGCGGTACCAGTGCCTTTTTGTCCCCTCGCTGCGTGCGGGCAATTCCCGCTTTCTGGGGTCGGGGAGGTGCCCATGCCTGACGCTCCGCGAGATCCCTGGGGGCTCGCCCCCAGATCGGCCGACGTGGACGAAGCCCCGACGTGGAGGCAAGCGCTCGTTCCACCTGCAGAAGAAGCGCTGCGCGGCGTGCGGCTACCCCGCCGCGAAGATCCGCTCCTACGAGTGGTCCAAGAAGTCTAAGCGCCGCCGTGCCCCCGGCACTGGCAGGATGAAGCACTTGAAGACGATGCCCCGCCGTTTCAAGAACGGCTTCCGCAGCGGCACCACGGCCCCAGCGCGCAAGAAGACTGCCGCGAGCTAAGGCAGCAGCCTGCCAGTAGGCGGGGCACTGGCGCGTGGAATCCCCGAATGACAAGTCCTGCTCCCCTCCTACCTCTCCTATTTCTTTATGTATTGTTATTCTCCTCCTCGTTTCTCCTCCCCCTGGATGCCCATCTGCCTTTGCTCTACCTGCTCGCACCCCGCTGCAAGCTCAGGTCAGCATGAGAGTAGAGACATGAGAACCCGAGTTGGCATGCTCCCTTGTCCTGCTCCTCTGCCTCCTCCTTTTTTCCACCACTGTTTCCCTCTCCTCTTCCGCAGTTCGGGTCAGCACTAGAGTTTGGGCAGCGCTTTGACATTTCAGGCTGCCCCCCTGAGTGGGGAGGCTCAGAAGGCAGTCGCTGTGCACTGGGTCAGGTCGTGAGCTCCTCCTCCGCACCTCCTTCTCCCCCTCCCTCCCCCTCCAGCTTGTCTCCCGCTCCCCCTCCTGTCCCGCCCTCCTGTCGGCTGCACTGCAGTAACTCTGCCTCGTGTTCCCACTCCCCAGGAGTTAATATCCACCATAATCGCGACCTGCCTACCCCGCTCCCCCTTTTCCAGGGTGAGGAGCTGGATATATACTAGGAAGAGGAGGGACTTGCCTCGGGAGAAGGGGTAGGACGAGAAGAAAAGTACATGAACGACATACAATTTGTATATATATATATATATGTGTATATATATGCGCAGAGTTAGCTTATTCCCTACCTAGGCTCTGCCTAGAAGGGTTCTTACTCGGTAAGCTTAAAGGGCCGGGCAGTGGGGCCCGTCCCGGGCGGTTCCCCCGGCATCCGCCCCGCGGTTCCCCCAGTGACGTTCCCTTAGCTTCGCGTTGCTTATCTCATCTTAGGTCAGCTTATTTCAGCTTAGCTTCATGTTACCTCAGTTTGATTCCCTACCTAGGCTCTGCCTAGAAGGGTTCTGATTCCCTACCTAGGCTCTGCCTAGAAGGGTTCTTACTCGGAAAGCTTAAAGGGCCGGGCAGTGGGGCCCGTCCCGGGCGGTTCCCCCGGCATCCGCCCCGCGGTTCCCCCAGTGACGTTCCCTTAGCTTCGCGATGCCTATCTCATCTTAGCTTAGCTTATTTCATCTTACCTTAGCTTAACTTCATCTTACCTCAGTTCCCTACCTAGGCTCTGTCTAGAAGGGTTCTTACTCGGTAAGCTTAAAGGGCCGGGCAGTGGGGCCCGCCCCGGGCGGTTCCCCCGGCATCCGCCCCGCGGTTCCCCCAGGATCCTGGGAGTTTTAGCTTTAGCCTTAGCTTAGCTTAGCTTTAGCTTAGCTTCAGTTTAGCGTTAGCTTAGCTTTAGCTTAGCTTTAGCTCAGCTTTCGCTCAGCTTTAGCTCATCTTGAGCTTAACTTTAGCTCAGCTTTACCTTAGCTTTAGCTTAGCTTTAGCTTAGTTTTAGCTTAGCTTTAGCTTGGCTTTAGCTTAGCTTTCACTTAGCTTTAGCTTAGCTTTAGCTTAGCTTTAGCTTAGCGTTAGCTTAGCTTTAGCTTAGCTTTAGCTTAGCTTTAGCTTAGCTTTAGTTTAGATTTAGCTTCGCTGTAGCTTAGCTTTAGCTTAACTTCAGCTTTGCTTTAGCTTGGCTTTAGCTTGGTTTTAGCTTAGCTCTAGCTTTGTTTTAGCTTAGCTTTAGCTTAGCTTTCGCTTAGCTTTAGCTTAGCTTCAGCTTAGCTTTAGCTTAGCTTTACTGTTACTACTAATGCTGCTTTTCTAGGGGCTCCAACTCCTAGGTAGGGTCGCACTGGGATAATTCTATTCCCTACCCAGGCTCTGCCTAGAAGGATTCTTACTCGGTATGCTTAAAGGGCCGGGCAGTGGGGCCCGCCCCGGCGGTTCCCCCGGCATCCGCCCCGCGGTTCCCCCAGTCCTCTGGGGGCTTTAGCTTTAGTAGCTTAGATTTAGCTTAGCTTTCGCTTAGCTTTAGCTTAGCTTTAGCTTAGCTTTAGCTTAGCTCCAGCTTAGTTTTAGCTTAGCCTTAGCTTAGCTTTAGCTTAGCTGTAGTTTAGCGTTAGCTTAGCTTTAGCTTAGCTTCAGATTAGCGTTAGTTAAGTTTTAGCTTAGCTTTAGTTTATCTTTAGCTTAGCTTTAGCTTAGCTTCAGCTCATATTTAGCTTAACTTTTGCTTAGCTTTAGCTTAGCTTTAGCTTAGCTTTGTATTAGCTTTAGCTTAGCTCTAGCTTTGTTTTAGCTTAGCTTTATATTAACTCTAGCTTTGCGTTAGCTCAGCTTTCGCTTAATTTTCGCTTAGCTTTAGCTTGGCTTTAGTTTAGCTCTAGCTTAACTTTAGCTTAGCTTTAGCTTAGCTTTAGCTTAGCTTTAGCTTAGCTTTAGCTTAGCTGTAGCTTAGCTATATCTTAGCTTTAGCTTAGCTTTAGCTTAGCTTTAGCTTAGCTTTAGCTTATATGTAGCTTAGCTTTAGCTTCGCTTGACCTTATCTTGACCTTAGCTTGACCTTAGCTTGAGCTTAGCTTCAGTTTAGCTTCAGCTTAACGTTAACTTAGCTTTAGCTTAGCTTCATCTTTGTTTTAGCTTAGCTTTAGCTTAGCTTTAGCTTAGCTTTAGCTTAGCTTCAGCTTAGCTTCAGCTTAGCTTTACTGTTACTACTAATGCTGCTGTCCTAGGGGCTCCATCCCCTAGGTAGGGTCGCACTGGGATAATTTCTCTGCACTACAAGCGCACTTCAGGATGATGGGATTGGAGGAGGAAGAGGAGGAGGTGCATCATTAAGCGAGGAAGAGGAAGCCTTTGGGTCAACGTCCGCTCGCGGCTACATGCGAGGATCAGGATGGGGATTGGGAGCTGGAGGATGGGGGAGGGAGGATGGAGGTCATGGTCCTTGGAGAAGAAGTTCAAACCCTCATCTTCGAATCCCCCAACTCCCTGCCCGAGCCGCGCTGGCGCTAGGGAGATGGAGTATGAGCATCCCCCCGAAAGGGACATGTGGCCATGCCAGGTCTGCGCCAAAGTGTGCGCAGAAGTACGGCGTTCAAGAGGAACAGCTCACGCCGTACTGTGGTCGCCTCTTTGTTCTTTGTTTCGTTATTTGAGCCCGCGTGAGAGGACTTTGTTTGCGAATGTACACTGTCGGGTTCGCAAGCATGCTCTGGAGCAGATGCCCCTCCATATCATAGTAAGACACATGCAGCAACACGTACGTACGTGAATGTGTTTGCACGTGTGGGGGATGTGAGTAGTTGTGTCACGAGTGTGTGTGGTGTTATATATATATATGTGTACTGTAGTTTTGTGTGCTTGCTTGTTTGTTCGTTTGTGTGCATACGTATATATGTGTGCGTGCGTGGGTGTTTCTGTGTGTGTGTGCGTTTGCTTTGTTATTGCCGATTCTTCGATGCATTATGGTTGTATGCTTGTGTAGGTGGGTTTGTCCGTGTGCGTGCGCGCATGCGTGTGTGTGCGTTTGTCTGTGTTGTGTGTAGGTTAGTATGTATGTAGTGTGGCACGCGAACTGCCTGCTCTCACGGAGAACTCGTTGACGTTCCGAGTATGGCACCAACCCATCCGAAAACGATCCGACGGTGACAGCTTGTTGTGAGAAGGGTATCGGATGTCCAGTAGCGGAACCGATAAGAGGGCTGGTTGTTTGTTAGACCGCGGTTGAGGCCAGCCCGAAGATTTTTGTTGACCTTGAGGGCCTCTTGGGTGCCCTTGGGGTTGGTGTCTTGGGGCTCTTCTGGGACTGCCTTGCAATCCTTTCCTTTCAGGCAATATTTGCGCTGTCTTGAGGTTTATCTGGGGAGCTTCTCAGGGCCAGCTGGCGCATCGACCTGCATTCTTCTCGTGGCCCTTTCCGATCCCCCACGTCTGGGCAGAGGGCGTCTCTCGGCCGCACTCTGCTTGGGGCTATGCTCCTGCTGCTGCCTGACAGGGCGGCGGCTTCCACCGGCCTGGGCTCAGGCACACGGCTGCCGTGTAGCGGGTGTGCTTGTGTGTGCGTGTGTGTGTGTGCGTGTGTGTGTGTGTTTGTGTGGGTGGGGGCCGTTGCGGTCCGGCTGTCTGGGCCCCTGCGGTGAGGAGGAGGAGGAGGATGAGGATGGATGGATGGAACATCATCGAAGAGGCCCTGGCGGCTGTCTGCACGCAGACGACCGCCAGGGCCTCAGATGTCGAAAGGTACCTGCGCCGCCGCGAGCGCGCCGCACGGACACCGTGGCGACGAGGGACGGGCCCCGAAGCAGCCCAGACAGGCATCCGTCCGACCCTGGCCTACCCAGCGGGCAAACCAGGGGACGGAAACCACCTCCGCGGGGACAAAAGCGGGCAACCCCAGCAGCCGCCAGCGGCCGCCCACATCCCAAGGGGGAACGGGAACGCACGGGGCGAGCCCGACCCAGGCGGCGGCCCCCAAACCCGCGCCGAAGGACGCCACCCAAAATTACGAGGCAGACCCAGCAGGACAGAGGGGGGCCCTCACCTCAGCGCCTCTTCTGCCTTGTCGGTCTCGGCGCTCACCCAGACGGGGCGCCACCACCCGCCACCTTCTCCGCCAGGTCGAGGGCCTGCTGGCAGGCCTCGGCGCCGTCGATCTTCATCTCGTCTAGCTCCCGCTCGGCGTCGGCGAGCGCCACTCGGAGGCTCTTCTTCTCATGCTCTGCCTCCGATTGCTTGGACTCCAGCTCCACGACCTGCTGCGCCAGGTGCTCGCTGCCCATGGTCGCCGAAGTAAGTACCGCCCTCACGGCCTCAAGCTCGGCTTCGAGCCCTGCGATCAAGCCGTTGTACTCGGAGGCCGTCGCCACGTTGTTGCCCAGATTTGCGTGCAATGCCACGACCTGCTGCTGCAACTGCTTCACTTCGGATACCGCCGCGGATCTGGCTGCCGTCTCGGCCGTGATGGTCGCTTCGTTCAGCTGGAACTTGCCGCCATCGATGTCCTTGCACAGGGACTGCTTGCACTCGATGTCCATCTCCATGCGCTGCGAGCCACCCGTGCGCTGCGAGCCACCCGTCGAGCCGCCTGGTCCGAGAGATCCGCCTGCTCGGAGACGTCCGCCGTCTCGATGGAGTCCACGCCCGCGCGCTCGCGTCTGCGGCCTCGTTGCCGCCGTCTCTTCTCCTTGGGCGGCAGGCCGAGCACCCCAGCGCCCTCGCCGAGCTCGACGTGGGCGGCGAGGTTGCGGTCCAGGCGCACGGCTCCTGGAATTTACCGCCCAGAGACCTGCAGCACCACCGCCCGCTCGATCGCCTGAAGCCGCGCCGAGACTTCCAGCTTGCCCTCCTCGTCGAGGAGCGCCGCCTTCTCCGCCTCCTGGGGCGTGGTGCCGCGCTCGCTCTGGCCCAGCAGCATGGCGCCAGTGCGGAGGGCTGCAGCAATGGCGGCCGCCACGCACTGCCGTCCGCTTCCGCCCTCAGCCGCACCCGCCGCCGCCGCCCCAGCCACAGAGGCGAGCGTCGCCACCAGGTCCCCGCGAGGTGGCGGGACCGTAGCCGCGCTCTTGGCCATGGCCGCGGCGAGAGGGGAGGCGCTTTCCCGGAAGAGAGAGGCCACGGACCCAACGCTGCCGCCCGCCTGGCGCCCAAGGCAGGCTTGAGCCACGATGGCTACGGAGGAGGAGGAGGAGGAGGAGGAGGAGGAGAAGGCGACCCCGCGACGAGGCGGCCTCGGCCCCGGCGCGGTGGACCCGTCCTCGGGGAACAGCGGCCACCACCCCGCCCCGCCCCTCCCGATCCACGGGTCCGTTGGTGGTGGTGGTGGTGATGGTGGTCTTCGGGTCGTGGGTGGTTCCGCCTGCGCCGATCCTGGCTCGTGAGAGCGTTTCTTCTTCTACCGTTCTCTGCCGTCCCTTCCGCCTTGCGAAGAGTGCAGTCTGTCGGGGCAGGCTGTGCTGACGTCGACGGGCTGTGCGGCCCCCGCGCGTTGACCTAACCGATTGCTCGCTGGCCTTTCGCGGTCGCCTGTCTGGGCGTCGGCCCTTCTAGGCCGCCTCCTGTCCAGACGATCCGGCGCCGTCGTTCGTACGGCGGCGCGCTTGGCTTGTGTTCTAAGCCGCTTGACGCAACAAAGTATGATGCCCCGGCGCCCTAATATTCTTTCGGGGTACAAGAACTTACACGGCTGCTGATGCCAATCAGACCAGCCAGCCAGACGAGTCACCCAGACCATACCAACCAGACCAGCCAGCCATCAAGACCAGAAAAGCCCAGACCACACTGAGCAGAGCAACGAGAGTAGCCGCACCAACCAGACCAACATATGAACAAACACTGAGATGCACAGCGCTGCGATTGAAAAACGGGTCAGGCATACCAGCAATACCAGCGAGTCAAACCAGCCAGGTAGACCAACCAAGCCAGCCAACCAGACGAGTCAGCCAGACCAGATCAGCCAGACCAACCAGAGCAGCCAGCCATCCAGACCAGCGAAGCGCAGACCAGACTACGCAGATCACCCATATCAGCCATATCAGCCAGACCTAAACTTGCTTTGCAAAACGATTCAATGCAAAACAAGCTGTGACGCAACACAAATTGGACCAGGCAGGCCACCAAGACCAGAAAGTCAAATCAGCGAAGTTGGCCAATCAGACCAACCAGATCTACCAGCTAAGCGCATACCAGACTACGCAAATCAACCAGACCAACCACATCAACCATGTCCAAACTGCATTGCTACACAACATTAGCTGTTTAACCTCTCCTGCTGGCTCCTTGCCGGCGCTGCCGCTTCTCGCTGTAATGCGATATTGCGTTGCAGCTGCTTTTTGGAGCCAGTTACTGCTGCAATGCCTAGGAACCGAGGCGGGCACCCGCCCGCTCTCGAGCGCAACAGGGAGTATTATGTATTGCTGTCTCTCTTGCTCTCTCTCTCTCTCTCTCTCTTTCTCTCTCTCTCTCTCTCTCTATCTCTCTCTTGTTTTCCAAGTGTTACCAGCTTAGCGGATAGGTGGAGGCATGCCAATGCGACCCACACTGAGCGCTGATGAGACCGATCCAGCAGCATCTTTGCACCCCACACTTGCCAGGGATGGCGTTCCATTAGCAAATAACTGGTTACCAGCCGAAATTAGTTCAGGTCGAATCGCAGCCGCAACTCATGCGCAAACTATCTTAGCGAGTGAAGATGCCATGTTTGCATATGATGCGCACGTGGCAGCGAGAAGTGTACCACCCGCGATGGCGGAAGACTTCTCGAGCAATGTGGCACCCGATGTTATGAGTTTGACTCCCCCACGTGTCCTGTAATAGATATTATCGGTGAGCCGTTTGTTGCAGGACAAAAACATTGCCCCGTCGTTAGTTCAAGCGATAGGCCTAGACGATAAGTTGGATTGAGACCTCTCGGCCGTCTTAGATGACGACGACATCAGTTCGGAGTTCTCGTCTTCGTCGGCAAGGGGAACAAGTTCAATCCAACATCTCAGGCGGGGCGTGCGAGAGACAGCACCGGGGAGACTCCATTGGCAAAGCGTTCAAAGGCACCAGTACGCATCAGTACGGAGCGAGATTCACCCATGCAGATTTCCAGTTTACCTGGAAGTTTGCTCGATGATATCGCTTGCCCTGCGATGCATGAAGTTGAAGAGGTTCCCGCCGCGGCAATGTCGCCCCATGCGCGTCAGGAGTCGAATTCCTCTGTCACCACTGACGCCGAGATCCCGTGCCAGGTCGGGAAGCAGTCAGTGTCAGGGTTCCCGGGGATTGTCGTCGGGTTTATCGATTAAGGCAAATTGTTGGGCCCGGGACCAAATAGCCCCCCTGCCACTGAGAACCGATGCCCGGGAACAGCGAGAAACATAGACGGCCCGTATCGCCGCTCTGTATGCGGGTCCTGTTCACGCGTCTGTGCACGCCGTAATCTTGGCTGGCTTTGCCCTCGGGCTCTGGCTCCGATATCGCATCGTTCAGGCTCTGGCTCCCGTGGCTCGGCTGGCTCCTCGGCTGGCCCCTCTGGAGGTGGGCTGGCCTCGGGCGAGGGGCTGGAACGGCGCGTCTTCGCGACTTCGGGGGTTGCCAAGCTCTGAAAGCTCTCCGTGGACCCCGGGGCCCGCGGCAAGACGTTCGTAGGGGGGCCTGATGGCGCGGGCTCTTGGGCGCCATCGCCAGCAGCGGATGTCGACGCCCCGGCGAACGCATTGGGCAGGAAGATCATAGTGTGCGGCGTCGGATCGATCTCCCCGAACTTGACGGGCGTCGGGGTCATCTTGGGGTCGGGGCTCCTCTTCGAAAATCTGGGCCCCCTTCGCGCGCGGCGTCTCCATCTCGCCCGAATCGAACTTGCCAGCGCTGCCCGCGCCTGTCGTTCTCGCCGCGTCTCCGCGCTCGCTTCTCCGGGGCGCGGGCGCGGGGGGGGGGGGCGGGGGGGGGTCGCCCATTCGCATGGTGATGGGGGAGGGGGGGGGGGGGGGGGCGCGAGGAAGAGGGGGGGGGGGGGGGGCGGGGGGCGCTGGTCGGACAGGCGCAGACTTACATTTTGGGCGAGTGGATTAGCCTCTTGCGCGGATCCTCAAATTCCAAACATACTTTTGCGACGTCGTCTTACGTATTGGTTCGCCCGCCATTCGAGGGGGCTGATTGCACCTGTCGGATTTTCCGGCGCCTCGACGTCGCTTGCCAGTGTCCGGATGGAAGCAAGCAAGACTTGCGTCTCACGAATGGATTGGAGGATGAGCGCAAGGTGAGTCTTTCACCCGCGGGGGGGCGCGGGCGTTTCCCGCCGCGCAGGGGCCAGGGGCAATGGGGAAACGTCGAGGGAAATGGAAGGCGGCAGGTAGAGGAAGAACGGGGGAGGGAGGGCAACGCAACGGGCGGGAATGGGCAACATAGTGACCAGGCGAGATGCTCTCATAGGGGGGGCGATGTGGGCGGAGGCCGCATTTGGAATTCCTTCGGATAGCCTTGGGACGTTTAGATGCCTCCGCCCAGAGCCCCCTTTGGTTCAGCGGCCCTTGCCTTCCTGATTCTGCGGGCGGGGCGCGACGACGCGCCCGACCTGTGCCCCGCCCCTTTCGCCGGGCGCCGGTCTGCGCGTGCTCGCCCCGCGCGAGGCATCCAGCACGTTCAGAACTGCACTTAGCCAGACACCGGGTGTAGTTCTGTATGCGCCGGTTTCGCCGGAGACATCCTCGCAAAACGGAGCACTTATAGAACTACACCTAGCCTGCGGGGCGGGGTGCACGTCGGGCGCCGCCACTCGCGCCCCCAACGTGCGCCGCGCCCCGGCTTCTAAGTGCCGTTCTGTACGTGTCCCCTTTTCGCGATGCATCGGCTGTCCGCGCTGCCCATCGCCGAGGCCCCGCCCCCTGGGCCGCTCCCCACCGACATCCCACATCCCCTGGCTCAGCGAAGCCAGCCGTATGCCTGGGGGCTTTGATTTCACGCAGCCCGCCCCCCTCTCCCGCTTGTGCCCCAGCGGCAAATCCGCGATCCGACCCCCCGCGCCTTCGAGTTCTTCTTCGCGCTCGATTTCCCGTCCGAGGGCGAAGCGCTTGTTCGTGTTATGATGTGTATTGCGGCTGCCGCCCAGCCTCGCCGTGAAACGCGGCGATCGCTTCCACGCTCGGCGCGTAACGTTGTCGGCGCGACCATCGCCTTCCATCGTGGGTCGCGAGGCGGTGTTTGTCCACCCAGACCGACCGACGGGCCAAATCTAATTGTGACAGCCACCCCTGGCCCCCACAACAAGGTGCAGTTTTGCTGCGCGTAGTTGTAGATGCGTTCGAGCTGGGGGGGGGGACGAGGAGAATGAGGAGAGGGAGGGAGGGAGGGGAAGGATGAGGACGAGGAGACAGATGAGGAGGAGGACGACGAGGATGACGCCCCAGATTCGTGAGCGGCTCTGGACGGGGGGGGGGGGCAAAGTCACTGGCTCTAGTCGGCCTCCCCCGCCTCCTCGCCCATGTCCGCGCGCGTGTCTATCCTGCAACGCCTGTCACGCCTCCCCCTCCTCATTCGTGCACCCCCCCCCCTGCTCCCCCCCTTCTCCTCCTTCCCGTCCCCGTCCTCGCGCCCCCCCCCCGCCCCTCTCTGGCGGACGCTACCCCCCCCCCCCCCCTATCGCCGCTCGCCATAACTAAGCAAACGTCTGCGGGAAGTGCCGACGGCGCGCCGGCCATCGCATGTCGATCGCCCGCGACAAGATGGGCGCCG